TAATTACTGGAGTTATTACCCTTGGTTTCATTAATGCGATGCATGCGTTCCATGATGTTGTATTGCACTCATTGATCTACCAGTTATGTTGAATGATTTCTCTTTTAATATCAATTACTCACAAATACTTCATATATTTCAATCATACAAACAACTGCTCATTCAATGTGTGATGGGCGTATTATATACCGCTCGCGGTAACCTTGTTATGTTTTGGTATTGTTTCATAGTGGCTTTTTATCTATGTTATATGTTGTGATATGTAAGTGTTCATGTTTCTGTCTTCAAACGGAAAATTTGACAATACATCTACCGGAATTTAAATTATATGCATCCAATGAACATTTATTTGTTCGGATCCAGGGCCCACATTGGATTGTCGTTATATGACTTATGAGACCTATATATAAACATGTATATATTCTGTTTTCTCCTCTTTAGGTTATCAATATATACGACCCAAAGCGTAACATACTGACTATTGGTCCCTTCAACTATTCGACTATGGACGAAATTGATCTTCTGTGTGGACTACCCAAAAACTTCATTCGAGAGGTAATAAAAAACACTCTGCTATGACACCATGATGGAACAACCCAAAACATCAAATGTTGCCTTACAGACACATGACCAAGGTTTGGAGCAAAATGCTTGTGTAGAGCATCACATTTGACCAGTTCTTATACGCCTGTCAAATTTGACGGGAGTATTATGGTATGGGGTTGTCTGGCCGGCTAGCTGGCCGGCGTAAACTTTTGTTTGTCCGGCAATCTCCTCCTACATTTTTCGACCAATCTCTTTGAAACTTGGTATACATCATAATCATGATATGAAGTTGTGTCTCCCTTAAACAATTTTGATTCAACAATTTTTCCAAATGTTATTGCCCTTTGTTTATTTCAGTATTTGATTTTTGTCGGTCGATCTCCTATATTTTTCAACAGATCTCTTTGAAACTTAGTAGGCTAAATAATCATGATATGTTGTCGTGTTTCCTTAAAAGAATTTTGATTCGACAATGTTTGCAAAAGTTATTGCCCTTTGTTTTTTTCAGTATTTGATTTTTGTCCGGCAATCTCCTCCTACATTTTTCCACGGATCTCTTTGAAACTGGGTATACAATATAACCATGATATGAAGTTGTGTCTCCCTTAAAAGAATTTTGATTCAACGATTTTTGCAAAAGTTATTGCCCTTTGTTCATTTCAGTATTTGATTTTTTGTCTGGAGATTTTCTCCTACATTTTTTATAGCATGTCAGCTAACCACTCTTAGAATGATGCAGATCTTATTTCAATGTAAGAAAGTATATTGTTGACTTCCTGATTAGGGGGTGTTCATTTGTTCGTTTTTATTTAAGTTAAAATTTGATAGGACATTCATCTTTGCATAAACTTGTACACAATTTTGTATTAGAAAAAATCACTAACTTATATTAAGATTTAATAACAATCTAAGAAAAAAATCAAAATAACTGCCAGGTACATGTACGTGTATATATACTGTCATTTATTTTTAAAAATTCTCATATTCAACTATTCAATGCCCAGTGATTTTGTCTGGCAATTTTCCAACAGAATTAAGAACTGCAACAATCATGTAATTAAATGTTTGTAGCACCTGTCAACCTCCCCAGCACAGGAGCCGGCTCACTTTGAGGACCATGTGCGGGCAGCCTTGTTGCAGATTAAGGAGCACCCTCAGCCTATGAAAACAATCTTCAAGGACGAAAAGCCTCGCTGTTACAAACTGGAGAACAAGAAGTGGAAACCGGTGTCAGACTCGTGATAGGAAATGAGTGTGTGGATGTATTATTGAGAACGAACTTTATCATAACCATTGTAATCTAGAACTAACGAGTTGTCTACCTTGATCTGTAATAGTGCGAAAATGGTCATTATTTATTGAACAAACTTTTCTCAAAAGAGACATACTCTTATAGTATTGTTTTAGCATTTATCATCTTTTAGTGCATTTTTCACTTATTCAAATGCACAAAATTATGTTATCACTAAATCTTAATTCACTTTTCCTTCTTGATAGCTGTAGGGGTAAATTATGATAACCGTAAAACTTTAAAAAAAAATGCTGTTGATAATCCGAAATATTAGTGAACTTTTATATGTATTGTCACAGTGGGAAACTATCTAGTTGCTTGTTATAGGCATGGTTTATCTTAAGCTCAATCAGTTGAGCACATGAATAGAAGCCTGGTGGGTTCACCTCCTTGCAGCAGGAGGCATGTGGAAAAAGTTACCTTTGTTACTTTGACGCCTGCTAGAGACATGGGTATTGTGTATGATCATCTCCTCAACTTTGCTGTCACAAAAATGGTCCTACTTAAAGAAGCCTTCAGAATGAGGTCTTTCCTTAGAGAAAGAGTATGTCACATTAGTGAACTTTCCATTTGCTTGTAACTGAATTTGCTTAAATCGGTCAAAAAATTGACTAGATAATCAGAAGACCCAGGTTTGACTCCTAGTGGAGGCATTTGGAGAAGGTGACATTTGTTGCAGTATGTATACTGGGCCGCTTTCGTTTATCACGATCCAAAGGGTTGAACCGGTTGGATCAGAGTTGTTTGTTTATGAAATAAGTTCGGACCTACATTGTGGTAATCTGATGCTGCTTTCAGGGGAGCCTTGACAAAGCCTTGCAAGGCCTGTAGAAAAGTTTGCAGGTCCACAAAGATTTATACCCAAAATTGTTATATTTTTAAACGGACAAACGGGTTGCTCTGCATCAGGCCCAGGAATGTCATTTTGGAATAGTCTCCCCTCCTCCAAGGGTTCTAAAAAAAAAAATCTTTTGCAGAGATGTAAGCTTGACATAGGGAGGAGAGTCCCAGAAAATGCTCATCCCTCCCCGCTGCTCCCCCCAAAAAAATCGTGTTAATGTCTGGAAATCAAATTGTCTGGGTTAAATGTCCTCTGTATAAATATATATAATAACATCACCTATGCAATGTTGTTTATGGTATGACAAAGATATATTATGAAGTGTAAATGATCACATATTATTTTGAATGTTTTATGTAACAGCATAGTTACATGTATATATAATTATGATAAGTTTTGAGTTACTGAAAATTTTGAATTGTACATTACCTCCATTTATTTAATTTATCCTATTTTTTTCTGCTGATGAATCAATATTTTCACTCTAAATTATTTTTCCTTGTTTTTTTCATATAATATGGCCAGCATTGATTTCGCCCACGTATACTTACCATTATTAACTGCTATATGTACACTGTTTATAATACTGTTCACCTTGTTTTGAATGAAGTCTCTTGTTGAAAGGTAAAAAAAAAAAGATAAAAATAAAACAAGGCCTTTATGTTTTGCGTCACTCATCCATACTGCAGCTTGATACATCATGCTGATTGTAAGTTACAACTAGTTGTGTGACAAAAGAATTAGTTTTCATTAGCGTAGCTTCTTTCAAAAAAGTTCTTTTTTTTTCATGACAGCTGAATGTATGTTATAGCCTAAACCGTCTTGGTTGATTTTAACAATATTTATTTAATTGTTACGTTTTCCTGTAAATATATTAACAATCAAAATATTTTGTTATGTGTGCTGTTCAAGCCTAAGTCTTAACATTTATTATGTGACTCTTCTCTTTTAACTCATGACAGTGTGATGATCAAGTGTAATAGAAGGAAATGTTAAGAAGATTTGATGGTTCGATGGTGAAACCTTTTAGACCATGATAAGTGACGAAGAAAAATGGGTATAAACCCGTTTTTTTTTCTTTTATCACATGTTTTGAAATGTTTGACCCTTTACGCAATCATTGTTTTCTGGCTTGAAAAGATCAAAGGTTTTATGTTGTTGATTTCTCATTTTATTTCTTTGTTGTTTATGAATCAATTTAAAACATCAAAAACGTCCCAGCCAGATTGACAGTAAACAGAGTTTTTTTTTCTTGTAAAACCATTTGCTCCTAGTTTTATCTTGATACAAATCAAAATATCAAAAACCCGTCCTAGTTATCCCCCACCCCATTCTACTGCAATATCTGCAGTTAACAGAAGGTAAACTTTCTATATAAAACAAAGCTGTATGTGATGAGGCAAAACAACAATTTGTTTCAGGTACCCCGACCAACCCTAGCAATTTTATCTCACTCAAAAGTACTCCAAGTGTTGGGATAAGTTGTCCACTGGATGCAAACAAACTGATTGACAAGGCAACTATATATATACCCGCTCTACTTCATAGGCAGGCATCAAAACCAAATTTAAATCCCATATTATTATTTAAAAGACCTAAAAATATGTTTGGTAATTTTTGTTATTTCTTAAATCACCCCACAAAAAAGGGGGGAAAAGATAATGATATAAAAATCAATCCCGACCATACCTGAGACATATATTTACATAGTTTTTTTGGCCTAAGGAAATAAAGACATAGAAATCTTGTCCCAGTTACACATGGTTGGTAGTATTTTGGTAGTGTTGATTGAGCTTGCTATCTCTGATCCTTGAACCAAGCTGTGGGTGATCATTATACAAATATATAACAATTGTTGTGAACTAAATAAATAATGAAAAAAAAACCAGTCTTTTTGCTTTTATATTTATTCAATTGAGTTTACTTTGAGGGTATATGTACATACTAAATATTGTATATGTACAGTGTATATACATTTAAGATAGCACTTCACTACAACACTCCAAGAATTACCAACAGTAATCAATTTAAGTATCATTCTTTAATTGTACAGCAGTGGAGACTAGTAAAACTGTAAACTCAATTTAACGTTACGCTCAGATGTGATTCGTTTGATGAACATCAAAGGATTGAACTAGTCTTCTCGTCTCGTCCACAAGGTGGTGCACACAGAGCCTTCGATTTTGCTAGAAGTATAAGTGAGCCTAACCCCTGGAATTACCAGACTTTGTAACAGATAACCAGTATTCAGATTTGGACTTCAGATTAGATACATGTATATCATGATGCATGAACCTGTACATGAAGTTACCTTTCCTTTAGTATGTGTTGGGAGAGTAAGTTGTAAACCATTTAACTTGTTTTTCACATCCATTTGAAAATGTATGCATCACAGATTCTATTATTGAATAAAGTACTGTTCAATCAAAAAATATCTGTGTACCCTAACTGAATTAAATATTCAAGTGTCATGTTTAAAATGATGAAACAAACACACAAAGAAAAGTGTAGACATGGAAATTTATTGAAATTCATAAAGGACAAAAGAGATATTTGGCAGAGAGTAGGTGTAGAATCCTACTTACATATAAAGTGTATATATATTTACTGTGCTGATAGCACTATGTATATCAATATCAATACAATGTGAAAAAATAAACTGAAGTACATACCTTTATCAGGACAGAATCAACAACAAGCACTATCACAGTCACATCTATTGTGTATACATTTATTATGCAAATTGAGGTTGTGAATTAATTCAGAGCACTATAACTGAACGATTATTCTTAAAAATATGTTTTCAATGACAATTTTAGAATGAAATACTTTCTGTGCAAATTAATGCATTTCAAAATCTAAAACCTATCAAAAACTTTAAATTTTCTTTACAAATAAACTTTGTCAACAATTTCATAAAAACAAAAAATAATAATCTTCAATTTCAAATATACATTTTCTTTTCCAAAAAAAACCCCAAAAAACTATGAATGTACATTAAAATGACAGATAAGTATAAATATAACAAACCTTTTTGAAGGACTTAAATATAATACATTTGTATAAAGTTTTAAGATATTCTTCAAATAATGCTGACAATATATATATTTATATAGGATCTATGAAAAGTGCATTTTGAATTTTCTTTTCAAATTTCATAACATTGCAACTTTGACTTAATTCAGATATCTAAAACATCCACCTACATGTACATGTTATTTAAAAATATTTTTGGCCTTAACCGACTCTTCAGCAATATACTTTATGTATAATTTTTCATTTGTAGTTAATTTTATAATTCAACTGACTAGATCAAATATAAAGATGTGAAATAGACAAAATAAGTAAAATATAAATTTTAAAAAAAGCATAATGTTGATTTTAATTTGAAAGTTTGCATGTGAATGCAAAACTAATTACTGTATACAGACATTTTTTTGCTGCAGTTAAATTTTTATCCATTTAGTAAAAATGATAATTTGAGTTTCTTATATACCCCTATATCACAATCTAGGACGTCGTAGGTCTTCTTGAAGCAGTTCACAGATTATTATCCGTCATTATTGGGCCTGTGCAATGCAACCAGCCAATATCTTTTTTTGCAACTTCCTGGGGAGCATACAGCCGGTGCTGCAATTGAGGCGCTCACAGCTAGCATCTTACAATCCCAGCAGTGTCAAAGAATGAATTGCAATCAAAAATGCAAAGGAAATACATATACATTACATACTTGGACAATAAAAAACAGTAAAGTATCTAAAAGATGAAATTCAATTTCTACGTTAAAAGAAAGAATGCTTAAAGAATACATGTGCAGGTGTTGGTACTTCAGGCTTGACACTGGTGCTGCTAGATTACAAAATACAAACAACAGTTAACTAATTCAACCCTGAAATTTCAAAATGAACCATTCCAACCTTTGAATTGGAAGAGTTCAAATGTGTCTTCAGGTGTGAATGAGTTAATTCTAACATCTAATGGAATGTGTGTCAGAATAATTTCAATTAATTGCCGATATTTGGTTAAAGATTGTCCCATTCACTTGCTGTATATATCCAATCTAAAACTATGAGAAAGAATACTCAGATTTAAATAAAAGTTTGGGAACTGTCATACATATTGCATATCTGGTAAATATAAATGAATATTTTGTACAGATTCACATTGAAAGGTCAACTAAATTACACTCATCATTAAAGGTCAGTCAATCAATTTTTTTCATTGGAAGGTCAATTAATGATCCTCCTCCTTAGAAACTTATGTTCTTGATGATTGGTGACCTATCAAAGGTCAGTTAGTCTCTTCCCACAATGCCCTGGAGCAGTTTTTTGTAGTCCCCACTACAGTCGTCGTTAATCCAATTCCAAAGTGTCTGTTTGGTCTCCTCTAGGAAGGCAGCCTTGATTTGCTCCATGTCGATCTGTAAACAAAAATATGTACAATTTGTTATTCCATGGAAAATAACCTGCTCAAGAATTTTAATCCAAGTGTTAGGAATGTTCAGTTGAAATCTGGTAGTCTGATCGTAAACAGAATCTTGTTCAAGACAACTATTGTCTCCCATATTTCATCTTTTTTCTTCCATCTCCCTTTCACAAAAATGGAGACATTTTTTTCATACTCAGGTTTTAGTTCTTCCTCTGGTTCCTCTTCTAATAAATAAATCTTGTTCAGGGCCCGTATTCATGAAACTGTTCTCATGCTCAAGCATGGATTTTGAGCTCAAGACTTATTTCTTGTTTCAGTTATAAATTAATAAATTATTTTGGAAAAATGTTGAAAAGACTTAAAGCCATATATACCATCTTCAAGAAAAACATTTGACTATTCGATCGTTTGCTATGATTTAAGTGAGTTACAAGAAGGTTGGTTTGAGCACAAAATCTATGCTTGAGCATGGGAACGGTTTCATGAATACGGGCCCTGGCCCTTAAATCTTGGAGCATCAATTAAGGTCAAAGGTCACACTTGACCACTTTTAAATTGAACCTTACTCCTACTATATACCACACTTGACTCTGGGACTGTTGGGACACTATATTGAACTCCAGATTACTATACTTGACTCGGGACACTATATTGAACTCCAGATTACTATACTTGACTCGGGATACTTTGACTCCAGGACACCATAGTTTATTGGGATACTAAGTTGACTTCAGGGGTATATACAGGATATGCCTCCAGAACTATACACTGTTAGATGTTTGACAGCCAGTCATTATAGAATAGTATGACATGGTTTTGTAGCCGCAACCCTTCCATACATTTTCAACTCAACAGCACATACATGTAGATATAAATACCTATTTCAACCTTAAAACCTCACATGTCGTCAAAAATTACTTAAAGAGAAGGAAGTGATCGACAAAGCTTACCTCAGAGCGGGAGACGATGATCCTGATGAGGTCGGAGTCTGCTGTGCCCAATCCTTTCATCGTCATTATCAATCTCTTGGCAAAGTAACGTGGAGGAAACTTGATACACATTACTGTGAAAGGTCAAAATAAATAAGGTGGAATAACCTCTGGTGTTTCAAATCATTTGCTTCAGATTTCAGATTTTCAGATTTTATTTCCAACACTCAGACACATGAAAATGTGTAACATGAGGTACATGTACATGCATTCATATATCTAAATTATGACAGGATGGACAGGTGCATGCATGTATATGAAGATACTGATATATGTATATATATATATGCATGATAACATGTTGTACAAATGAACTATTTCGTAATTAGACACAGCAATGCATACATATATGTAGATAGCCACGCATATGCACAGTGAACAAAGAGGTATAACTCTGTAAGTACTGGGACAAAATACATGTGCAGTACCTGATTTCAGAATGCAAATTACCACTACCCCATCCTATGAGATACTAGCGTGCAAAATTTGTCAATTGTAGGAGACAGAGATCATGAGAAATGCACTGAACAAAATGATATACTGATGGACTGCACAGGTGGACAGAATGCAAAGCTTACTTTGTAGTTAGTACTTATTGGGGATAATTACTTACCCAAAGTGTATAATGCCATCTTGAAATCCCCAGACGTTTCATCATCGACTGCATTCTCAATGTCACACTGGGATAACTAAAGTTAAAAATATAAATTTTTGAAGAAATGTACACCAGTGAACACCGTGCCATATGAAAATGATAAGAAATATAAAGTTACAGCCATCTTTGGAAACCTGTGTTTTTCAAATTATTTTCAAATTATTGGCAATTCTTAATTTCACAAAATTGTAAAATTCAATCAGCCTCCCCATTTATGCTTTTTTACAGAATGTTTATCCTTAAAGAGTGATGACATTTTGTATGTATAATGATTTAAAACTAGAACTGTCAGTCAAAGGCTAACGTATATCCTCCTCCCCAATAAGAATTAGTCCAGTGCAATGAACAGTTTAATATCAAGTGAACAAATTTGTAGCAAACTTAAATAAGTCTATTTAAAAGTTTTACAAGCATTATTATGGCTATAACATCAGGTAAATCAGAATGAACAACACTTATACATTATTATAACTAAAGATTTCACGAATGGGACATAAATCCCATAAGGGTAACTAAATGAAAGATCATAAACAATGGGGCAAAACTTCAAAGGGTGGTGCAAGTATCTGTAACAATTCAATTTTTTTAGATAAAAACTGTAGGATGAGTTGTCCAGACAAAATTCTGTCTCTAGACAGAAAAAGACTGACAGATTGACTGACAACTGGATTAAAGTATATCCTAGCTTACTTCTTCACATTTTGAGAAATTAATTACATGGGATTTGGTATATTTTATGTTTTAACTTTGGCTATGGTATACCCATGTACGTGAGCTGACCTTGACGTATTCAGAGTAAGTCCTCCGGAGCTGGTACGGGTCACGTATGGAAAAGATTCGATTGAAGGTCTCCTCATCTGTGCCCCAGCTATCCTGACCTGCTTCAAATAACTTCTTGGCATCACGCTCTGCCCTACCCACGTTCACCAACTTATCATGGTTGACTGCAAACATTCCTGTGGGCATGTCCAGTTCATTCTTCACTTCCTCCACAGCCTCCTCCAGGCTCCCAAGGTCAATAATGTCACGATTACCCTAAGGAATTAAAATGTTGTAATTATACACATGTTGTGATGGATATACAAATTTCATCAATATCAGAGATAAAGCAACACATTTTAGCCTGATAAACAGGTTAGTGGCCCTGGGCTTTGTACCAAGTTTGTTTTGTGCCAAATTAAATGTGGTGTAAAAAAATACTGACCATTCCACACACTTGGTTTCATCTTCAGTTTTTTTTTTTTTTGTGGGTGCCTTGTGTTGTCTTTGAGTTCAGATTTTGTGTATTGATGACATAGTACATGAGTTTGGGGATATATGCAAGATCATTGATATTTTTGAGAAAATGTCAAAGGAATACACATCGGACAATTAGGAACATTTCAGGGTTTATACCTGGCTTGCCGATATCAGTAGACGTTTGTAGTCTCCAGATGTGTCACCTTCAATGTCTTCCTCTAGTGCATTCTCTGGGGCTTTCAGGTCAGGGAAAGCAACTACAGTAACAAAGACGGCACACCTGTGATTTATTAATTCCTTAAATAACAGCTTCAGAGAAACAAAAGCCAATTTGTGCAAGAAACTTTAAAGGAGAAAATGTAAGCAAATATCGATAGAGTGTATAGGTACTGTATGTGTTTCTTAGTTGTGACAGTTAAGCTTACCATCTTTGTATGCCTCCACCATAGCTTTAATCTGAGGATTGGTGCGTGAAAACATGATCTCGCACAAAACAGAGTCATCTGTTCCTAAACCCTGCAACAACAAACATCGGTCACTAATGTAAATTGTTATCATTGTGTTTCAAGTAAGGTACAAACAGTTACTTCACCCTGATGCATAGCAATTTCAAAACAGTTGCTTCACCTTGATGCAAAGTGATTAAGCAACGCATGGACAGGTAAATTGTAACACATGGACAGGTAAATTGTAATACATGGACAGGTAAATTGTAATACATTGTAATACATGGACAGGTAAATTGTAATACATGGACAGGTAAATTGCAATACATGGACAGGTAAATTGTAATACATGGACAGGTAAATTGTAACACATGAACAGGTAAATTGTAATGCATGGACAGGTAAATTGTAACACATGGACAAATAAATTGTAATGCATGGACAGGTAAATTGACAGGTAAATTGTAATACATGGACATGCAGTGAAACAAGGACATCATGTGACAATTTTGAAAGAAGTATATACTTCATTGACATAATGACATCATAAAGATGTATACTTTTTTAGTGTCATTACATGTCCATGTATGATATGATGACAATCCTCTATGGTGGCACTGCACGTACACTGCAAGTAACTGTTTGTACCTTACATAAAACACTACATACGTGTCAAAAGAAGTGCTCTGGGGTGAATTTTGTCTATACAATCATTTCAGACCATATTTTGAGGTTTTACCCTATTTGCCTGCAACAATGACAGTTAATATTGCTGTTATGCACATTTAGTGTTTGCAAAATATTACTACTATTTGTTAGTATGATATATTCACTTCATTTATACATATTCTAATGGCTAATGGCAAAACATAAAAAGAATTAGACACAAGTTCAAGAACTTAAAATCTGTCTTTTCCCTAGGTCTTCCCATCTAGAAAGAGCTTTAATAGGCAATGCCTGTGCCTGATCCATTTGTCATTTAATTTGTAGAATAAAATTAATTTTAAGTGAGATATGATACATGTATATTACCTATTGCATTAGAATTCCTCACACATCAATTGTCCAACAATATGTTTCTTACACAAGTGACCTGTACATGTATTACTTACATATATAGCGTTCCTCACACACCAGGCATCATACTCCTCCGGACTCACGAACAGAGCCATAACACACTCCTTCAGGTTTCCGCTCAGTTCTGATTTCAGGCGCTCAACCAGGTCCTAAGCAACAAAAATACACCAATTTCTTGTGAGACACTGATTATGCCTTACACTCATGTATTTCCTACAATTTAAATCGAGGAATTTGCTTGTATAACATCTTAATGATAGAGTGAATGAACTAGTCATTATTAAAAAGACATCCAGTTATATACAGTTGTTTCCTGAGACAACTATTATTACATAATACACAATAAAAGGCGAATTCCGCGCTTTTTTCTGTGGCTTTTTGGGGGTAATAATGGGCCCTATTCCTAACTGAAATTATGTCATATGTATAATAAGCCTGTTTCCCAATAATTGCATTATACTTCTGAAAAATTCCTTCCCTTGTTTATTTCCNAAAGCCCCATCCCAAATTTAAAAGAAAAGCTCTGGCATTACATAACAATGGTGTTTACAGTCATATAAAAACCTTGCTTTTAAGTAGAAAACACTCGTACGGATTTCAAAGGCTACCTTCGTATGATATTACAAAAAAATGTAATTTGAAGCTTTAATTTTAATTGTAAGATATGGCCAGTTTTGTGGATCAATTCCAATCGGCAGAAGGATATCGTTATAACTATGTAAATGAGGTAAGCTTGTAGTGACCCCATATGATTCTTATAAAACCTTACATGTCTGTCTATGCACAAACAGTCATTTTATACTTACTGTGCCATAAGCAGTCTTGAATTTTTTCTTCAGCTCCTGTCTTTGTGAGTTAGTTCGGGCTGTGATTACATGTATAATTGCATCCTCATTTGTACCTGAGAACAAGATAATAGCTTTCAATACAATTAGGCTAGATGTGTGTGTTAGTATATAACTCCTTGATAATCATTGCAACAGCCAGATCAGGGCAAGATATTAATGAAAAACTGCTCTCATGTTCCAACTCGGATTCTGTGCCCGTTTCCTCAATCTGGAGACTGAGAAACTTATTTAAATTTCACATTTTATTAATGATTTGGCGGAATTTGAAGTCAAGCACCATTTTCAACTTTGTATGATTTTATACAAGAAAGTTGGATTGTGCACAAATTCTTGCATGAGCATGAGAATGGTTTCATACATCTGGGCCTCGTATTGAAACCAGGCCACATCATAAAACATTACACTAAACTTGATCTTCACCAATTATAACCAACTGAGATAAGTTGGTCAAATATTGTCATGCTTTGAGTCAAATTTCACATATCTTTCTTCTTCCTTTTCACCTGACTTATTTTGTATTTATTTTACTTTAGTAATATCACACACAAAACATTTTTTTTCTCTAGAATTTACCAAGTCCATCCATAGCTGCATCGAGGTATATACAGTCATATTCTGAGTCCCATCTTTCCCCTCCAGCAGATGTACCATCAAACTCCTGCATGAAGACAACAACTGGATCGTCTTCTTGGTATTTGGTGTAAGTCTTAACCGTGCCAGTGGTGGGCTCCAGACTGTTGTACTTATCTAAGTGGTCCTTTAGTCTGGCTACATAACGAGACTTCAGGTCAGCCCGCTGTTCGTCACTCAAACCAGCAATCTTCTCTGCTATTTTCTGTAACCAGTTACAACCTAAATGACGCTTAGGAGTTCAGATATATCTCTTGTTCCGAGATATCTTTACAGTGACTTTCCTTATTACAAATTTAATGGTCTATACAGATGAGTGTTAGGTTCTATTCTAAAGATTTCTTTGATCAATTATGGATAAAACATGATCTAGACAGATCTTAACGTATTGGTATCCTTTTAGACATTTCAGTTTTTCTCATTTTGGATGATTAATTCTTAAGGTCTCTATAATCCTTACAAACCTGTATATCTGGTAACTGTTTCATTATTTTATAATAGTTTATAAATTTCACTTTGATCTTACAGCCTTCTTCTTGGCCTTCTTGCGGATCTTCCTGCGTGACTTCTTGACTTCTTCCTCCTCTTCCTCGTCTTCCTCATATTCCTCCTCATCTTCTTCATCGTCCTCATCGGCCAGTCCAGCCTACAAAAACAGCAAGATCTGTCAGAATCTTTAAACATATTTTGGAACTTTTCTGACATTTGTTATGTTTTATGCTACAATGGATGAAAAGTCCAAATTTATATCATTTAACAATGAATTTCTGAAAGATAAAAACCTAAACCAGTGGTTTAAATATATCACTATCTATATAATCACTTCCTTTGCTCCTAATACTGACCCTTTTGATCGACATGAAGGAGAATGTATCATGTCTCAAACAGTATGACCAGACAATTGAATGAATATTGAAGGATGGGATTCATAGTAGCAAGCATAGAATTGAACGACCTTGACAAATGTACCTCCTATTGCAGTAGTACTTATTGAAATTCCAGGAAAGGTTCAAAACAAGGTTACTTCCATTAATTAGTGACCTTATTATAAGGTCATTCCAATGGAGTGAATACAATCCCTAAAATCACACCAACCCCTCAATGTTACCAAAAGATACTTTGATCCCCAAGATCAAATCAACAGAGATATGGATCCCAAAAGTCATACCACCAGTAACTTTATTCCCATGGTCATACAAACACTAGCCTTCTCCAAAGATCATACTGAAAATAACCTTCTCTATAAGGTTATAAATTACCAAGTGACCTCCATAGGTCATATCACTAGTGACTTCCAAAGGTCATATCAATAGTGACTTCCAAAGGTCATATTAATAGTGACTTCCAACGTCATATCAATAGTGACTTCCAAAGGTCATATCACTAGTGACTTCCAAAGGTCATATCAATAGTGACTTCCAAACGTCATATCAATAGTGACCTCCAAAGGTCATATCAATAGTGACCTCCATAGGTCATATCAGTAGTGACTTCCAAAGGTCATATCAATAGTGACCTCCATAGGTCATATTAATAGTGACTTCCAAACGTCATATCAATAGTGCCCTCCAAAGGTCATATCAATAATCAATAGTGACTTCTAAAGTGACCTGCAAAAGTCATATCAATAGTGACTTCCAAACGTCATATCAATAGGGACTTCCAAACGTCATATCATTAGTGACTTCCAAAGGTCATATCATTAGTGACTTCCAAAGGTCATATCAATAGTGACTTCCAAACGTCATATCAATAGTGACCTCCATAGGTCATATCAATAGTGACTTCTAAAGGTCATATCAATAATCAATAGTGACTTCTAAAGTGACCTGCAAAAGTCATATCAATAGTGACCTCCAGAGGTCATATCAACAGTGACCTCCAATGGTCATACCAATAGTGACCTCCTTCAAACGTTCTACCAACAATGACCCCCTTCAAAGGTCAAACCAGCTGTGACCTTTTCCAAAGGTCATATCACTATTAAGTTTTAACCTCCTCCAAAGGTCATACAAATACCGGGAGTGGTCTTCCAAAGGTCATATCAACAGTGCGTCCTAGAAAGCTTTCATATAGCCAGAGACCTCCTTCAAATGTAAAGCTTAATTAAGCTAATAGAGATCTCAAAAACTAATATATTATACTCTGTGAAACGAAACAGAAAATTGTTCAATTCCTTTATCTGAAGCATGCATCAAGCTATCAAAAATTATTACTCAACTAAAATATTCAAAAGAAGGACAACAAAAATGAAGCAGCATTATTGAATGATTAAGTTAAATAACTATCTTCAATTAGGTAAAGATTTATCAGTGATCCAAAGATTAATACCCACCTCCTCTGCTAGGTCGAGGAAACAGTTATCAGTACTCCATGTTGTGTTGATGGTGATGTTGGTCTGTATGGTAGGGGGCATCATCTGCATTTGGCATGGCATCTGTGTACAGTAGGAATGTAATTGAGGTTAACAAGACAGAGATCACTTCTCTCATAGAGGGCTGCATCTGTTTGTATAATAGGTAGCGGTAGTGTATACAAAGGTCAACATCCAACAGATCTGGCAATGTGCAGTCATGGTCAATTATGGTCAAAGTTTTACAAAGTTTAAGGTCAACATCAGACTGACCAACAAGAGATGTCATCTAACGACAAAAGGTATAGAAAGGTCACCGTTTAAAAGATGGCAGTGTTCAACAGTCATGGTACTTACGGGCAAGAGGTTTACGAAGTTCAGGGTCAACATCCGACAGATCAATAGGAGATGACATTTATGGGCCATATCTATACACAGGTCATGGTCAACACAAGATAAAAGCCATTGGTCAGTTGGTGATACTACATGTTAGTAAATTATACTTACACCAGCAAATGGGTTCATCATCATCTGTTGGGGTGGAGGAAACCCTGTAATGTAAACATAATTATTGTGAAAAAACTAGTACTCTGTATGTAAGGATTGCTAAGGCAATAAATATCCGCTACTGAATGACAGAAATTTGATAGTGAACAGATATCAAATTAATGAGAAAGATGTCCATCAATAAATACACTTGTTTAATGTTTATGTAAACTGGGAAACTAATTAACACATACATAGAGTGGTCATAGAGTAAACAGTGGTATATCCAAGATAGATGGCATTTGTGAACAGGGGGGACACTTGCAGTTAAGCTCCCTCCCTACTTTTGGTCAATCTATTTTCATTAGAGATGGGGGTTTATTTGTGGATAAATACGGTAGTGTAGTTGCTTATCATGTTGTGAAAAACTGAAAAAGGATGAATATCTTCAGATATTGCAGAAAAAAATGCAAAAATATGTTGGGCATGACATTTTTAAATGCAAGGGTCATAACCCTGTCAAAAAAAAGGAAAATAAGTCATATGAGGTAAATATCTTGAGGCAGTATTGTTGAAAAGTCCTAAAACCATATATGGCGGCCATGTTTTTCAAAACACCTCTTAGTTAGTTTTGTGTTTCATCAGAGTCTTGTCACATGGGGTTGGTGAGCTCAATGCTAAGCATGAATTATCACTCATTCATAATATTGTTAATTATGTGAGTGTTGAATCTGTATATACCTGAGTTGACTTGGTAGGCTGGATTAGCATAGGTGAATCCTCCTCCATAGTAGTTACTCTGGTAGGGATTGCCATACTGTAAATCAAAACAAAAGGAAAAACGATAAATTCTATAATATCATATATATGTGTATTTGTTTTCTATATCATTGGAAAAAAATATCTTAAATTAATTTGCTTTGATAATTAATCATTTTATTTTTGAGAATTTATTTTACTTACGTAGGCCATTTTGTTTGATGGTTTGTTTTACGTCTACAGGATACCTGTAGAAATAAGTCATACATATGATACACTGATTACAATATACATAATATCATGTTTCATGATACATAATTATATATAATTATATTTCCTGGTAGAACTCAGACAGTAGTAGTTGAAGGGGAGAAGTCTGATTTTGTCGATGTCCATTCCGGGGTACCCCAGGGGTCAGTTTTGGGACCCAGTTTATTTCTTTACTTATTCTACACTAGGCTTTTTAAGACGAAATCTTAAAATTGGCTCAACATCAGCCAAAGTACAGGCATACAAATCATTAGTTCGACCATCACTTGAGTATGCCTTTACAGTATGGGACCCTCACACCTATGTGCTCAGTAAGCACAGGTACAACCATCATACCTCCAGTGTGTCAGAAATGTTGGACCACCTATAGCTGGGCCTCTAGCAGATAGACGTAGAGATGATTGTCTGACCATGCTTCCTAACATTGTAAACCAGAAAGTCGCTATCATAAAATCAAACAGATTAATCCCTACAGTTAGAAAATCCCGAACAAACAACCAGTTTTCGTATCAAATTCCCCACTCAAAAACCCAGACCAGAAAGACATCATTCTTCCCTTGAACTATACCCGAGTGGAATAAACTCCCACCTGACATTATTTCGAGCCCCACAACGGAATTATTCAAATCAGCCCTCTACCGTCACTTTTTAAATGCAAATTAGACCATCTTGTATCTTTTAAAAACAATCTCTTTCCATGTTTTCTCCTCGTCTGACATTTTATCTTCAAATTGTTGAAGTTGGTCAGCACCATTTAGAAGTAAAGGTAGAAATATACATTAGATACATAGACATTACATATATATACTGTTTACAATGTTCTTCAGGATGAAAAACCCAAACGTACTGTATATCATCTACCATGAATTTCTAATTTTAAACTGTAACATTTTTCTCATGCTTCAATTTACTAGGAGTAACTACATGTGTCAATCCTGTACACATGTACATTAAATATACTTTCATTAAGTTTTTTTTTTTTTTTACCACAACAAAATTTCAGAAAAAAGTTCCTTACACATTTGTTTAGGAAATAACTTTGGGATTTGATTAAAATATGTCCTGTCTATGTATAAGGACACCTGTCCAGTAAGATTTAGGCAGTTTTCTTCGCATTTTGATAAAAAAAATACATTTAAAAATTAGAATCTACAATGCATTTATAGGCATTTGGGAATGCTGTTATCATTCTTAAAATTAATTAGGAGAAGGTGACAAATTAATTCCTTAAATACAAATATATTGTGTATGTTTGCAAAAAAGAATTAATGAAAGAGAGTGGACTCCTTACATGGCTTTTTAAGGTCATATCCTACATTATTACACCTGAAATTTGTGTGAGAGTTATCTCCCTTAAATCAGTATTGCAACCCAGAGTCCATTGTTCTTTAAAAAATACTATTTAAATATCAAGTCCCTGCAAAATATGACAATTATCTCAATTACTCATAACTTAATCCAACAAAATAAGTTAATCAAGTCATCAAAGAGGACAAGTATGTATTTTTTTAACTAACAGGGTGGTAGTTTTTAAAAATTCTAATTATCACTAATTGCTGCTTTTTTAGGGGCAGTTTGAAAGTACAAGGTCCAATTTCATATTTTTTTCCTTAATCTTTGAGAATAAAAACTGTTGTTCTTATGTCATAAAAGCATGTCACGCTATAAGTCTGACAATGAGCTGTATGTTGTATATGTTCGTTGGCTGGTAAGGTGAGTCACTGGTAGTATTTTTTAATCAAAAAACAACAACATCAATGTGACAAACATTTGTAAACAAACGGCATTACAGGACGAAAAGCTGATCAGAAAGCTTCAACTTATACGATAAATTAAATTAGATCTGAAGACAGATACTAAAGCAGGTATGTCACATGCTATATATTGTCAACGGCATCTTCAATTCACACGTAGCAACGGTGACATCAGATGAGAATAACCTAAGACACGTAAACTATTTTCATGGCGCTCTCAAAGAGCGTACCAAGTCATCACAATCAACTAGTTTAGTAAGTGTAACGCAATACTATGTATGATATAAATGATTTCAGAGCATGACAATTAGTTTTGCCTCGTTAACCACCAAAGATATTACCTTGCGATACGCACCTGTTTATCTCCTCCAGACGCTTAATGTCCTTCGATACAAACATCCATGTGACCAGCATGTGCGGTTACCTAGGGCCGTTTTCGTTGGTCAAACCGGTCGGACCACTGTTGTTCGTGTATCAAATAAGGTCGAACCTAGTAATCTGATGCTGCTTTCAGGCGAGCCTTGACAAAAAGCCTCGCAAAGCCTGCATAAAGATTTGCAAGTCCACCAATATTTATACCCGAAATTTGTACATTTATAAACGGTCAAACCGGTTGTTCCGCATAAACAAACAGGACCCAGCATGTTGTGTTGAGTGCATGTCTCAAAGACGCTTTACCTGGCGGCCAGGTATAATATAGGTCTAGATTTTTTTTCTGTAATGAGTGTGGACTTATCCCTTCACAGGTAAGTCTTAATGTCAATAATGAGGATTAGAGAACAAAACCACAGGTTCTTGTAAGCTGTTAACATTCTATACTTATATTATAATACAGCGTAGTAGATATATGTAGCTACCATCCAGGATAATAATACTCGTTTCATAATTGATAAAATGTAAATGTGCTTTATTATGTTTTAAAACAAAATGTACAGGTGTATAAAAACGCGTTAACAGCTCTAGTTGTAATAAGTTTATGTATATTAATTAATAATTGCCTACACGATAGTGTAATGCTATACAGTACTAGATGAACTGTCTGTTTTAGTAAAACCTACAATGCACTAAGGATCTAATTAATGCTATTGCTGGTCTATGTAAATAAAAATCTCTTGAAGTTGCACAAAGATATACATACATGTATAACCATGTAAACAGTTTAAGGTAAAGCCATGAGCATTGAAAAATGATGTTAAATATGAAAACCTGGTTATATTGTTAGGTATTGTCGTCCTTTAAAATTCATGCAGGGAATATCATATTGTTACGTTTGTAGTATTTCACCACTGACGTCAGTGTTACGTTTGTAATATTTCACCACTGACGCCAGTGTTACGTTTGTAATACTTCACCACTGCCGCCAGTATTACGTTTTTAATACTTCACCACTGCCGCCAGTATTACGTTTGTAATATTTCACCACTGACGCCAGTGTTACGTTTGTAATATTTCACCACTGACGCCAGTGTTACGTTTGTAATA